GTACACCCTATGAGGTGGGAATTCGTGATCTTTCTGAATGCCTTTCAAAATGTTAAAAAACTTTGATGCATTAGTTTTGTTAAACGCTTGAGCCCGTGCAGCTGAAGTCGCCTCAGGCTTCCGTAATGCAATCATAGGGTGGCGTTTTCTGAATCCCTATTTCCAATCTTTCCCAGCAGTTTTTTTTCATTACTAAAGTTATGAGGTATGCAATTTTCAACAGCGAGTTTGTAGGCAAGAGCCTGCAGATCAGCGATTGTTACACAAAAAAAAAAGGACTTCCATGTCCAAAAGATGGTTAACTATTTCTTTTTCCTGCTCCTCAGTGAATATGGGTCGAAAGTGACAAACAACCTTTTTTGTGTTTACTGCATGAACATTTTTGTCGAGTGCACACCGTTTTAAAGTATTTCGAGGTACCTGGAACCTTTTAGCTGCGGTTTGCTAAGGTTCACTGCATCAATGGCCTTTTGCATAGCTTCAGAGTTCCAGGACTGCTGAGCGGTTTTCTTTTTTATACTTGGACACCAGACTGTTCTCCTTCTGTTAAAAAAACACGGAATTAGAATAACTGAAGTTTGCCGCAATCTTGCTTTTAATATTATAGGCCTATACTGTTTTGTTTGTGATGAATGCAGTTTCAAAAATCAAGTTTTATGCAACATACATTGCGGGCAAAGTGGGCACACTCTAGCACGCCATTTTCTAGATATAATATTTCACGTACAACCTGTTGTAGTATCTACTGTTGAGACATATGAATTTAAAGCTAGAAACATGTTGTTTTGTATGATTGATGTTCAATTTACTTCACCTAGGCCTACAATAAAATAAAGCGAAACATGTGATGCACTTACCTAACATCAGAGGGTCGAAAAAGTGGAAAATTTGCGATATCTCGGTGAGCTTGCGTCTGAGCGGAACCAAACTACAACAAAATAACACAGTATTTCTGTATACAGTAGTTTCACTCAGCGTCGGTCCCTTTGATGTCGGTGTCCAGGAGTTTCATTTTTTATAATGATGACGTATTTGACACTAATGACATTTCTCCCTACTACAATCTCAACCAAAGCGTGTATACACTGCTCAACATAACAACTATTCATATAAACTGCTCAAAAAAAAAACAGTCTATGACCTGAGAAAATTGTACAAATGATAATTTTGCATTTGTGTAATATTGAAGTAACCCAGATCATTTGGGCAATGATGAACTAAGTGTCAAGTAGATTTTAAAAGTTCATGGAATCGGCAGATGTTCATATTCGAATGTGACAAAATATATTTTCATTTCAACAAGAAAAAAGACAAGATAAAGAAATCGACTGTATTTTTTTGAGCAGTTTATATGAATATTTGTTATGTTGAGCAGTGTTTAAACGCTTTGATTGCGTGCCTGTCTTGAACTCGTCGTTTGCGCAGACCTGTGACTTCAACTCCTGGGTCTGCGTGTAGAAAATTCAAACCAAAAATCACCCGAAGTGGGATTACTGTATATAGTATATAGTATATAGTATATAGTATAGTATATAGTATATAGTATACTGTGACAATAACAACGGCTGCCGGGCGAGTAGTTAGACTATTGCCGCGAGGCTGCAGCACTGTACAGGGAAGAAAACTTCAAGTGGCAACTTTGCCCGCAGTGGCCATTGTGCCCGCCCTTCCCCTATACTAAGCACAACTTATACTTTACAAACTGAACTAAACCGAAATAAAACAGCAATAATCCAACCGCAAACCTAGAAACACGATTACAAAGTTTTTTATGTACCACCACTGTCGAGTTCCTTCTGTATCGATATTGTGTTTATGCGCATATTTCGGCTACTTGCAAGCTCCACCTTTTCCCTTCCTCCCGCCTGACCCTTGCACCCCTCAGAAACTGTTCGTGAAAGGCATGACACTGGTAAACAAAAACATAGAATGAATAACATATAAAGGTTATTCGACTACGAACATATTCAATCGTAAATGTAATCAAACATGTACAGCCATTATAATTTGTTATTATACTTAAAATAAAATAAAATGAAAAAACAAACACTATAATACAATATAAAGACACAGTTCAAGATTATTTAGCTTTCAACCAGTTCTGTTTAATATAATATATCAATCGTTTGTAGTCATGCTTGATAAGACATATGTATTTAAAATGGTGTTAAATTTTCATTTTCCTTTGAATAAAAATATGAATACAAATAGTATAATACAGTAACACAATTTTCAACTTAGCGAATATCAAACTTTTAAACAGTTCACTTCAATACAATATATCAATAAACTATATACCTGTTTGCTAACAGTGATACATCGGTATTTAAAAGGTTTTCAGTTTTCATTTTCCTTCGATTATTTCAGTGACTACTATTCAAGGCATTTTCAGAATGTATTTTTTTGATTCTTTCTTGAAAGTAAAAGTGTTATTGATGTCGGTTATTAATTTGGGAATAGAATTATATACGTTAGGCGCAATGTATCTGTATGACCTTTGACCAAAAGATTTAGCCATGTGAGGTACTATATGTTGATTTTTCTGTGCTTGATTCCGCGAAATATGATATTTCAAACCAGTTTTCAGATAGTACAATTGCCTTGGATCAAGGATATAACTTTCACTAAAAAGCTGGTCTAAAGGATATCTGTTGTTTTTTGACAGCATTATTCTCAGTGCGCCGCCCCATTCCAAAATACCATATCTCAAATAACTTTCTAACACGGCGTGATGCCTTAGATTCAATCGTCCAGGGTTTTCTCGCCTCTGGTTTTGGTGAATCATCACTCAGTCGTTTCCTGGTTGCACCACCAAACCTTTTTTTTATGTTCAGTTATTGGATCCGGAGTTGGAGAGTTGAGAAGCTCTCGCTTCTCATCTGAATTTACAGGGAGGTCAGTTGGAGTAGTAAGCTCGACATCCATCTCCTCTGTAAACTCAGCGTCAGAAATAATTTTTAAGTTTACTCTGACCTTAAAAGTCCCACGAGTAGCTAAGGCATTATTAGTGCTATTCTTTCTCAAATATTGCTTGAAAGAATGCATTGATTTACGACGTTACTAACAACTGATGAAGAATATTCTGGAATATGTCAATATACACCCATCAAAGTGCCTCTATGCCATTATAAGGGTGTCAGAGATATGGAGGTTGAAACTTGTCAACTCAGAAAAAATATGACCACAATCACGAAAGGATCTGGATTGTTTCTGAATTCAAAATGCGTTCGAGAAATTTCAAGAATGTTTTGAAAACTTGTGATGTTTATTTCAGTGTAGTTAATTACTTCAGATTAATTCTAATGATTCTAGAACGGTCTGGACCAGTCTGAAAACTTGTGGAACGTTTTCAAATTATCTTCATTGCAATATCATGAATGGTTTTGAAATAATTCTACTGGATTTATGTTCTGGAGCGTTCAATAAACTTTTGAAAATTTTTGTCTGTTGCACTCTGCATGAAATTGATTTGTGCAATTGGTAATGTGCACAAGTCTATATGCAGTCCATCTAGCCGCTCTCTCCAGAAAAATGTAGAGAGGAGGTAGATCAAGAAGGATCCCCATGGCCGCTGACGGTGTGGTACATGTGTGGTGGTCAAACAAGCCTGTCCCTGTAAGCCAGAGAGCTATGCCTGGGCCGTTTTCTGTAATGCCTTCGGCCATCAGGCAATTGCACCATAAGTGATCAATGGTCTGACAATCATCACATAAATCCAATTGATTCGTTTGGGACCAAAACCCTAATTTTTACCATAAATCCTTCGACATGTCCATAGGGACAGTCTGGCTTTGTGTAAAACAAGTGAGCTTTCCAGGTGACTTTAATTAAGGACAATGCGACGATATTTCACCTCCGTTCCAAATGGAATGACCTCACCATTGAGGAAACGTGGCGGTAGATCGTCTAATTTTTTCCTCCTGGGGAAGGGGATTATCACAGATTTGCTGGAGTTGACAGTCAGCTGCTCTCTCAGGCACCAACTGTAAACAACGTCCATCATGCTTTGTGGGATATTACACGCTACCCCACCCGACGTGGACCTTGACAAGATGGCAAGGTAATCTGCATAAGCTTGCGGATCTACTTTTCTTCTGTCGAGGGCATCAAGCAGACTTTCCATCAGGAATCGACCACAGAAGGGGAGATAGTACCCCACCTTGAGGGCAGCCTCTGGCGACTTCGCCTTGACAAGTCGTAGTTGCAGTTATGTTTACCAGCATGGGATAGATCCAGCCAGTTATGGTCGTTTCAATACCTTTCCTGGTCAGAGACGATCTTATAGATTCAGGTAGTGCATTACAAGGATGTTTCATGCTAAATTTGTCGATTTGCCGGTTTGATAAGCATACTAGCGGTTATTCTGGGGGGATATATATAATGCCACCCTCCTGATGTGCCCGTCCAGTATCCTCTCAAGTCTTTTCAACAAAAAGGATGTGAGGCTGATTAGTCGTACCGATTTAGGGTGTGGGTCTTTCCGCTCCACTTTTGGTATGTATACCACACTTGCTGCCAACCAACTGGGTGATATATAGTTTCACGCCAGACTAGCTCTATACAATTTTATGAGAATAGGTAAAATTATTTCCAGTCTGTTTTGAAGAAGAGCTGGAAATATAGCATTCTCTCCAGAAGATTTGAAGGGGTTGGTGATGAAAGGGTCAAAAGGAAGGTTTATGTATTCTTCAAAGCCACATCATAAAAAAATTAAAACAAAACATTTTGTTGAAAAAAATAAAAATTTTTTTGGGGTGGTGCACCCTTACCACTTAGGGGTATGCAAAGTATATTTAAACCTATTCTCAAACCTACCGAATATACATATGAAATTTTATAAAAATCTGTCAAGTCATTTCCGAGAAGTAAGGCAACTTACGCTGTGACATGAGAACTTTATATATTAGATATGAAATGAACCATCAATTTGGACCAGTTTCTCTCTGTGTGTATGATATTCATTCACTTCTCTGTTTAATTCATTTTTTTAATTGGAACAGGGTCTGCGAAAAATTGTGCTGATAGGAATGGTTGGCACATGTGCTGGTACATGGTTGAAACTAGGCGCAGTCAGTCCAGATCGCTTCTGGCTAGCTTTCTTGGGGCAATCTATAGTGGCTTTCTGTCAAGTTTTCGTGTTGTCAGTGCCTTCCCGACTAGCTGCAGTTTGGTTCGGTCCTGCGCAGGTATCATCAGCTTGCAGCATCGGAGTATTTGGAAATCAGGTAAGAGAGGGAATTGTGAACGAAAGAATCATCAGAAATCATGTTTCATTTTGGAAAATACAATGGAACTGTTTAGCGACCAACTGCATTGGAAATAAACCTAGAATAGACATGTAGATTATTGTAGACATAAGTACGGAATATTTATAATTTAATTTTTGATGTTGTTCGTCTTCCTACAGAGATTTTTATAAATAAAAAATAAAGCAGGTAGAACACTCCGGAGAGGAGGAGAATAATTTGTAAATTTCGGGGAATTAGTGATTTTCAGAGGGATTTTAAGGAAGTATTTGCGTGTAGATATGTATTACAATACTCAATTGAAATGTAGTGTTAATTCAAAAATTAATTTAAGACAATTAAGACGCAGGTACCTAGCAGAGGTATCTATAGTATGAATAAGGACACCATTGCATGTGTATTTCGTTTAATCTTCCCCTTGAAGATGATCACTTGGTGATCGAAACACCTGTCAAGGTGGCAAAATAACGGTTTGGTATAAAACTCCAGTAATATTCATTACCACACGCTCTCGAAGTAAACTGAAGAATATCACGACTAACCCCTCTAACATGGGCTTTGAACTCCCAACAGAAAATAATGTAATATTTTATTTCTATGGAAAAAGCCAAGTCAGTCCTATTATTGAGTGTAGTGTGTCTGTTGAAGGTATAATTCAAAGGAATATCTGTTTATACCGCCTTCAATCCCTTTCAACTAAATAGTCATTTGTTGGAGAATTCATTTCAAAGCACGATTTTTCTGAAAATTCCACCTCTCACATTTCTTTACCTGTTCTAGCAATTTAAAATATTTTCAGCATTGCGGCGTTGCCATTTCCATCAAAAAGTCCTAGCAACTTAATTTTTTTAAATATAACACCCCGTATATTAATACATTTTGGGAATCGCTGTGGTATTTCAATACTTTTTTGTCAATAATGACCTATACCTATCTCTATCTGTTTTCGAGATAAAAAATAAATTGTGCTAAATATGGTCCAAAACATAGCCTTAATTGAAATTAAGTACATCAGTACTCTAAATTCATGAAAAGTTAATATTTTGAAGATAGATTGGACAAACTCAGAATATTCAAATAACATCAAGAAATTGACTCCATATCATACAGGGCGTGCTGAAATCACTAATGTTTCCATTGCGCATAAAAGTAATCAAAAGTTCATTTTTCTAAATGAAACCCCTGTATATTATTCGGTAAATTGAAAGATGGTGAAAAATGCTTCTAGATGATATATCATGTCCCTATACCTAAATCTTCAAGTTTTCTCAATAAAGTCGCTTCTTCTAGAAACATTATTTTTTTTAGAATTTGGATTTAGGTAGCAGTGGAATTATCAAGCTTATAGCAGTCCGGTTACTTCAATAAGTAATTTACAAAGAGTTATTGACGGTGTTTCGAAGCATCTTCCAAAATAAATGCAAATATCGATTATTCATACGAAGTTCTTATGAAATTATTCATTATACCCATGAACAAAGTGATCAAATCATTGTCAGAACGTGTAAAAAATTCAACCATGAATTCAACAATATATTAACACCAATGAACGAGAGGAAGTTTGTAAGGTTACAAAATAATTTCCTTAACTATGGTTCAAAGTTTCCAGGGAACAACTGTACAAAATCAGTCATTTCTAGGTAAAAAGTAAGATTTTGTGGGATGAAACACGTGAAAGTACAGACAATAACAGAATAGGATGGTTCAAAATAACAAAATTGTAAACAAAATATCACATTTTCACAATAAATGCCGAAAATGTTGTCCATTACATTCTAAACACTTTAAAATATTTTTTTGTATGCGACTTGTGGTTGCTTTTTCAATTTCCTGGAGATCCAGATCTTCAATACTTCGCACTATTCGCCGTCGCAATTCTTCTTTGGTAGGCACTGGAGTACTGTATACCCTCTCTTTCAAAACACTCCATAAAAAAAGTCAAGTGGGGTGAGATCGAGTGATCTCGGTGGCCAATCCCATGGCCCTAAACGCCTAAACCAACGATCGTCGAAGAGTTCGTCAAGTTTCCTGGAAACTTCCTGAATGGAATGAGCTGGCGCTCCGTCCAGTTGAAACCACGAATTCCTCTATTCCTCCAAAGGCAAATTTTCCTTAATATTTGGAGATATCTCTCTGCATTCAGTGTGTCTTCATAAATAAAAAAGCTAATTTTATTGTTCTTCAGAATACAGAAAACATTCAGGTCAAATTTTTTCTTGAGAACCCATTTCTTTTGTAACATGAGGATTATGATCAGCCCAAAAATGTTTATTCCTTTTATTGAATATACCATCCCTCGCAGATTTTGATTCGTCGCTCCAAATTATTTTTGACAAAAATTCCCGATCTTCCTGTGTATGAATCAAAAGGGATTCACAAAAATGCATTCTACGTTCGAAGTCTCCTGCTTTTAGAGCTTGAAATTTGGTAAATTTATACGTATGCATTCCGTGATTTTTCAAAATTCGTTGTAACTGAAGCATGTGACACACCTAAATCTTTTTCTGCACTGCGAATGGAAGCTTCTGGATATGCATAAAAATATGCCAAAACGTTAACAGTATTGTCCTCATTTGAAGTAACAGGTTTTGGTAATGTTGAAGGCGCTTTTAACATGGAGCCATAGTTAGGGAAATTATTTTGTAATTTTACAAACTTCCTCTTGTTCATTGGTGTTAATTCAGGATACATTTGGTTGAATTCTACAAGTTCTGGCAATGATTTGATCACACTGTCTGTGTATAATAAATAATTTCATAACAACTTCGTTTAAATAAGCAATATTTGCATTCATTTTTGGCGATTTTTTGAAACACCGTCAATTACTTATAAAAGTCACCAAACTGTCGTAAGCTTGATATTTCCACGGCTACCTAGAAATCAAATTCTTTAAAAATTATTTTTTGTACAACTGTTATTGAAAATCTCTTTAATAGAAACACTCCAATCAGAACACCTACCAAAAATCATTAAGAAAACCTCACACATGCAGTTCGGGCTATTGGTAATATTGAATCCCTGTGAAGTTACTGACGATGACGAAGTAGTATTCAGTCCAACTGTAGAAAGTCCTTCATGACTAACCAATAATCCTCCTCAAAATAACGTGAGTTGGCTTATGTAGTTGTAACATATGCCTTGTAATCCAAAGATCGTGTGTTCAAATCCTATGGACCCTATAATTTTTTTTATTATCAGCAGTAACGTTATACAAAAAAAATTGTATGATACATTTGTTGAAAGTGATTTTATTTTGCTCGTGAGTTTTCTCCTGTTGCTGACGTTGCTGACGGTCGTTTTGCAATAATCCCCACTCACAAAATAAAATGCCACTTTCAACACTTGAAGGTAAAACGTGAACTATTTTTTCACAAAAACGGCTTTATTAAGAAAACTTGACGATTTGGGTATAGGGACATAATGAACTTTCGGCTACTTTTATGCACAATGGAAATAATAGTAATTTTAGCACGCTCTGTATGATATGGAGTCGATTTCTTGATGTTATTTGAATATTTCAAATTTGTCCAAACTATCATCAAAATATCAACCTTTCATGAATTGAGAGTACTGATGTACTTAATTTCAATTAAGGCTATGTTTTGGACCATATTTGGCACAATTTATTTTTTATCTCGAAAACAGATAGAGATAGGTATATGACATTATCAGCAAAAAAGTATTAAAATACTGGAGCGATTCCAAAAATGTATTAATATACGGGGTATTCTATTCAAAAAAATATAATTGCTAGGACTTTTTGATAGAAGTGGCAACGCCGCAATGCTGAAAATATTTCAGATCGATAGAACAGGTAAGGAAATTTAAGAGGTGAAATTTTTAGAAAAATCATGCTTTGCGTTTTCCAGAAACGTCTAACCTATCATCGACCGTGAGTCACGCTGTATATATATATATATATATAAAGTTTCATTGTGAATTTCAGAATCTGGTTCCAACTTTTGTAAGATANATTATGAGACTATTTTTTTCAGTTAGGAATCGCTCTAGGATTTATACTCCCACCACTACTGGTCCCGGCAGGAAAGTCTACAGATGAAACGACCTACAGTTTGTACGTGTTGAATGGCTCAGCTTCTGTAATTCTCACCTTGATTTTGCTGTTAGTTTTATTCTGTGAGTATGAAAATATGTGATGGAATTGGCCGATGCTTTGATGAAAATCTACTATTTATTCGATTAACACGTCATTGTGAGATTTACAAACATATGAAGATGCTTGAGGAAGCATGAAAATGAGAATTGGAACTTCCTATGCTTTTATACCACTTGTATTTGTAATTAACGTTTCATCCTATAAGAACATTTTCAAGCGGATACAATAAGCTGAAACAATCAACAATTCACACCTTTACATTCTATACAACATTGTCGGTAATAACATACGATCCTTAATGACTTTATTACCTGAATTTTGTTTACGTGTGTCAATGTGGGTCCGCTAATCTGGAAACGGGCAAGTAGACCTGGTCAGTTTGGTCATTTAGTGAGTTACATCCGTAATGATTGTGTTTATGTAAGTAGTTGTTTACAGCTGATTCTCGGCCTCCAGTACATAGTACAGTAGATTGTAATAAGGTATAACTTATTTCCATTATGGAAATCATATGATAGCACATTTACTCGATATAGAGGAGTCACAAGATCGTGAAATCGGGAAAAATATACATAGCGTAATGGGAAACAGTACTGGAGATATAGTATTCATATTGTTACTTGTAGAGATAAGAATTGTAAAAGGAAGCGATTACAGTTAATTAAGTCATACTTTGTAAGTGACACAATATAGAGAACTCCTAAGCCTTAAATCAAGATGAACATACATGACGCAACCATTTTGGAATCCATGATACTGACTCAATATATTAGTTGAAGAGAGATATATTTGGAAGATGTACTACATTGAAGCTTGAAATATATCGTGTTGGTGCTCTATTTTCCCAACTATTACTGTATGGGGTTTAAGTTTATTATGTTTTTTGAGATTTTTTTACTATTTTTGAATTTGTCTCGCATTTCAGGTTCATCGGTAATGAACTGAAAAGTTTTGGGCCTAAGTATCGATAATTTTTTTTGACCTACTGTTTTGTTCATGACTGGTATCACTATAGTTTTTTCGTGTCGGCTGTTATATTTGTGGTCCAAAATGATCAATTCATTTCTGTGCGTGTATTGAGCTGTGGTTATATTAATGAAGGAAAGCTGCCTTGGGTCGAATATTTCGTGTTCATCGTATAGGAGGTCGCTTGGGTAGGTATAGTCTCTATGTAGAATACAATACATCTGAGGAAGCGTTTTTTGCGTTTCCCCGCGAGGGAATGCAGATGGGTTTTGGAGACTCTGCCCCAGCTAATGATGCCATAATTTAAATGTGATTCCACTAAACTTTTGTTCTCCATTATTTTTGTTCGAAATTGAGAATACTGGTTATACTTTTGAAATTATATAGAATACATCGTGATTTTTTCACCAAGTATTGAATGTGTTGACCCCATGTGAGATGACTATTTAGAATTATACCTAGGTACTTGATTTTTTTGACATTCCTGATGACGGTCACATCGGAGAGAGCAATTTAGTATGTAGGCAGGGCTGTATCATAGCTACTGAGTGGTAGGTAGAATGTTTTTTCAAATATTACTGATAATAGCCTATAATCGAATCACATTTTTATCTGACTCAGATTCTGTTCTAATTTCAATTTCAGGTTAAATCAATCATCATCTTCACAGATCAAGACCGTGTCATCAGCATAGCTAATGATTTTGGAGTAAGTATTCAGGAGAAAAAGGTATATGTTGAATAATATTGATCCTAACACCGTTCCCTGAGACACACCACGCAATACGGTCTTTACATCACTCACTTTGTCACCTATTTGAAAAAATTGTTTTCTATCCATTAGATAGCTTGTGTAAAGATATGGTATACCTCTTATTTCTATATCTTCAAGGGTTTTTAGGAGTATATTATACAGTGTCGAAAGCTTTCCTAAGATCTATAAAGATACCAATTGATGGTGTCGATTCATTTAAGGGATGATAGATTTTTTGTGTTAATATTCTAATTGGATTTTGTGTAGACATCTCTGAAACCATACTGCCAATCTGACATTAAACGGTGTTTTTCTAGAAACTTATTGATTCTTCTTTGAATAACCTTTTCCAAAATTTTTGCTAGGTAAGTTTTTAATGAAATAAGCCTGGAGTTAGCAACATCACTCTTATTTTCATTTTTGTGATTAGGTGTGACCACTGCCATTTTGAAATATAAAGGAAAATATTCCTGTTCTTGTGATTTATTGACTATGAAGGTGAGTGGTTGTGCTATGTATTTTGAGTCAAAACTTAGGGTTTCTGCTTTCAGATTATCAATTCCGAGTTGTTTATTTTTACATACCTTGCACATTCATGCAATTTTGTTGTTATGATTTCTATGAATTCATTCGTTTCAGAGTCGAGATCGCTGCAGTGATAGATAGCTTCCCAGTTTGTTTATAATAATGAATATTATTTTTTTCAACGCTTTGTTTATTGGTAAGAACTATTTGAGCTAGTGTCGTCAAATGGTCTGTTACGGTTGTTCCATATATAATGGGCAGGATTGTGTCATAGTTATGGTATTTTGATTTTATAAATATATGATCCAAACATGTCCTAGCGTTTTTTTTGTACTCTTGTAGGTGAATCAATTGCAGATATATATACGTTTTCACTCATGGTATCTGAGCAGAACTCGGAGTCACGAGTTCTGCTTAGTAAATCAATATTCATATCGCCAATTATCAAGTTATAATCGAAATTTTCATTTTCTCTGTTTGATATTTTATTAAAATTATCAATATTATGTTCTATATCTGTAGCTGGTGATCTATATATACCAATAATTATGAAAATTGAGTCATGTATGTTCATTTTGACTCTCAGAAGGAAGCTATCGTTCCGTTCAATTGTAGTATGAGAGTCATACATTTCCGATTTCACAAACATTATGATCCCGTCATTTTGATTTAGCATTTCAGAATTATAAAGCGGTTTGTAACCAAGTATATTGAAGATTTTGATATCATGAACGATACGTGTTTCAGTAAGAACTATACAATCAAAGGACTTATTTACCGATTTGACGAGGATCGAGAATTCATCGAAATTATTTGCTATACTACGGATGTTGCTGTGTATAATTTTGAAATTTTCATATCGACTGTTGATTTCTAGAACTTCCTTCACTTTTTCAGCAGTTTCTAATGATAACGAATCTGAGTAAGGACTATACAATCAGAAGACTTATTCAACGACTTGAGGAGGATCGAGAATGCATCGAAATTATTTGCTATAATACGGATGTTGCTGGGTATAATTTTGAAATTCGCATATCGACTGTTGATTTCTAGAACTTTCTTTACTTCTTCAGCAGTTTCTGAAGAGAAAGAATCTAGTTTGGTTATAACAAAGTCACTTGTATAAGGATCCACTTTGAGTTTTTGAACTCTCTTTGAAGATAGAGTATGATCAACAGATTAATTGATTAGGGAATTTAACCCAATCTAGGAATGCATGAGACTTGAAACTTGGTTTGATTTGGACTTATGGACCTCGTTTATATTCTTGAGGGATGATGTAATCGCTTTTATCTACTATAATCTACTACTATACTACTATAATCTACTATAATCTACTATAATAATAACTAATATCGCTTCTGAAGATAAAAAGTGATGAAATGTTGAAAATCCTTTCGACTATTCTAAATGGACAATCTTTTCATTTGATTAAATAGCGCTCTGGCGAAAAGGATTTAAGTTAAGACTCGTGGTTTTAATGCCAGTTTCTTTTTGTTTCGTTCTACGGAATAACTCTGTTTTGATAAAAATGTTACTGAAGGAAACGGAAAGGTTTCCGCGGTCAATAGTGTGTTGTCGCTGAGTTCGGGTTGAACCGCGTCTGGAGTTTTGTATTCGATGTTTGTTATGAGTTCTGTCTAAGGTCTGAATCTGCCTACTCCTTATATATTTAAGTAAGGTGTTGATGGGTGATTTTGCGATGGTCTCAGTAATTGTAAAATACATATTGTGTCCTGTATCTTCATGATGTTTGGATTGGGCTGAGGATGGGTCTGACTTTCGAACAGTATGTTAATGTTCATATACTTTACTCATTACACGTCTGTTGGTCTGACCAACATATATTCTATCGCAATCGGATCATGGAATTCCATATATACCCAGGGATTCTTTGACAATTTTGTCCTTGGGGGAACTATCCCCCAACTATCCACTATTGTGGAAATTTGATTTTTGGCGGTGATTATCGTTTTAATGTCCTGTTCTTTGAGAATTTGACCAACTTTGTCAATTACACCTTTAATGTAGGGAAAGATAGGTTTGTGGGGTACGTTGTCATCTATAAGATCTTTGAGAATGGACGGAGAAGTTTTTCGACGATGAATGGATCTGTCAATTTGATGGTCTTTGAATCCAGGGCCTTCTTCAGGGCATATAATTAATTGAGTTGTGGATTTTTTGCCAATGAATAACAATACAAATCATGCTTACGGTAAAAATGAGTTAGAAACAATGGATTGAACATATAAATTGACGAAAGAAAGTTAAACATTAATGGATTTTTTGGTTTGACAAATGTCATACCTTCACATAAATGTCATTTTTTAATGGGCATGATGATTTGATAATCTTTGACTTTGATTTGATACAATTTTCATTATTGTCATTATGTTTTTTGGTGTAGTTCTAAGTTACTGTATATTCAGCTGAGATTATCAATGTCAGTTCTCTTGTTCATACAATCAGAATACTTATTGTACCTATTCGGTACATATCTTGGAGCGTTTATGGCGGCCCCTAGTCATGCGCTCATAAACGACGGGATCTGTTTTCTGTATGTCGCTGCGCACTGATCCCAGGCAGAGCAGGTATACTGGATTATCGGTAGTATTATGGTCTCTATCATCAGCATCTCTACTTTCAGTATCATTATGCCTCTTCGACCTATGATACTGTTCACCCGGGTGAACAGTATTGCCTGACTCTTGTCAGGGCTTATACTGATCTACCACAGGTTGGCCCATTGCACTATTCTATCTGCCTGTTGCTGCAAGTGTCTGGTGAACGCCAACT